ACAAATAATAAGACAAAAAGTTACATTGGAAATAAATTTTAGGGGTTGCGTTTTCCACCCCTTACAACCATGGGGTAAACCAAATAAATTTCTGTAAGTGTCTTTTTGGTAGTACAAAACGTCAGGTTAATTTCAATAGTGTAACTTTTTTAGTGCTTGTGAAAAAAATTGTTATACAAATTTTATGTACCCCCTTTAAGGGGCTGGAACCACTTTATGGTTTCTTCTTTTTCCAAATCACTAAGTATCTCATTATGAGAATATCCAACTATTTCAACTATATCATCAGTTTTTCAGGCCTGAGTGTATAAGAATGAATCAAAACTCAACTTTGTGAAGTAACTAATCAGAATAAATGGACCTAAAACTTACAAAAGTTTACTTTGAAAATTTTCAAGAAGATTCGGAAAAGAACGGTTTTGGCTTTCTACTTCCCCTTCTATATACAAAAAATGTAGGAATCTTCCAAAGAAAGGAAAGAACAAATCAATTTTCAAAAGTTAACTCTATACAAATATTTGTAGTTAGTTTCAGACACAAACTGGAAGCAAAACCCCCTCGAAACATGNCAACACATTAACTACTATTTCCATTCCGGACGCTGTATTTATATCGTTCTTAATTGTATTACCTATTTATCTACCTATAGGGACAGGTAGCCAGCTTTCATTAATATTCATTGTCTCTTCCTCTCTACTGAAATTATCTCGATGCTTTTGAATCTCAATTGCCTGTCTATCTTTTCAGTCTGTACCCTGGATTGGAAGGGGCCTTGATGCACCTATTTTTTTGCCATCCAGCCAGAAGTCCAGATCTTAACCCTACTGACTTTTGCTTCTGCATCACTCCCATAAATGATGTCTTCAGAAAGAGTGTAATCATCTCCTGTTCTGACTCAGGATATGTCCTTGTGGAGAACTGAATAGTTCACATGTTAAATCCATAACTAGGCTTAGCATAGTCATAGGTATAGCGCTATTGGCTGCGTGTAAGGCTTTTGGGCTCTAGTATCATCTAGGATCTAGATGATTTTTTGCAAATACTTTTCAACTCTCAATATTGATCAAAGTTGATATACCCTCAGCAATCTTGTAATCAAAACATGAGTAATCAAAACATCAGATTTTTTATTACAGTTTCAATCAAAATCAGTGTTATTGTATTTTTTATTAAAAATTCTACGTCTACATGCATGTTCTACTGGTGAAAATATTTTTTTCATGTTTCATATTCACTTTATAAACTGCTTTTAAATTTTAAAAAAGTTTTACTTGATGATTTATTTCAAAAACATAATTATTGGGTTATGTTCTGAAAATGATTCTGAAATAGTGCTAGTTCAGTAAATCCTCAGGTTGAGAGGAAAGTTTTTTTTTGATATGATTCATAGTTGTTAATTGAATAGTTAATCTAATACAAAATGAACCCAGTAATAACCTGCATCCTCTAGAACGAGTATAAAAATAACTTCTATCATGGATCATATGTTGAATGGTAATGTATCGAAAGGATTTCTTTCAACAGTGTATGTTTACACAATCTGTTGTCGAAAACTCTTGAATGTAATTATTTCTCACAAATCATGCAGTATGTGTGGAGAAGACGTTTCCTGTTTACATCAATGGTATTATGTTTGGGTAATCACATTAATTTAATTTCTCTCTGAAGAGCTTTTAATTCAAAGTTGAACTAACCACGTAGAAGGTGATGGCTATTCCTACCCTTCTTCGGTGTTCTTTGATTTATTCAAGTGACAATTTATTGTGAGATTTTCACTGAACAATTTACAAAATCACAAGTGTTTCACTTCATAATTGGTTCTTCAAGCGTGTTCATACTAGGAAGCTATTGTATAGTAAAAAACACGTTAAAAGTTTCGTGAACTGTCCAGTAAAAATTTCACAATAGTGTTACTTGAATATGTAAAGGACTTTCATCAAGTGTCAGCTAATTACATAAAGTTTTCTTTAATGATGAGAGAGATCAGCGTAAATGGTCTAGATACCACAAATATTTTGCAAAGTTTTTTCTACCAGTTTATGGTGATACTGAGAATCGATATATATACCCAATCTTAACCAATGTCAAATTCCTTCAGTTCATATTCATATTTCATATTTTCAGTAATTGAGTGAACTATAACCTAATTTCAGTGATCCGTAAAATTTTTGACTGTTCTGTTTCATAACAAGTTTACTGGCATTGTTAGCATTTATTAACTAAAATCAACAAAATGGTTTTACTGATGGTAAATCGACAGTAAAACTGACGTCATGTCAAGTTGATTAAGTTCATATCGATTTCTCAAAGACTTTCCATAGAGTTAACTATGGAATATCACTCAATGAAATTATAGTTATTTATGTATCAAGGGAATTAGGAGGGCCTTAATTACCGATGGCAAAGTTTGCGTCCCGAGGGCCTCTGGCCCGAGGGACAGCAATTGCCTGAGGTTATTAAGGCTCATTAATTCCCGTNCTCTTTATTGATAGCGTAACTATGACGATATAAGCTTATAATATCCCGGTCAGAAATAAAATATTTTTTATTTAGTGGTATTATACTTCTGTCGGATTGAAAATTTTCTGAGGTATACTAATTTTAATTAGTGAATATTTTTATTTTTGTTTGCTGACGATTTAAAGCTTTACAGCTCAAAAGCATTCTATAATGATTGTTTGGGACTTCAAGATAACCTGAAGTTTTTAATATATGTATATAAAATATATACACGGTAGAGGCATAACTGAAAATTTTGGAATCATTTGTATTTTCTCAAATTAAATATTCCGTAGTCGAAAGTTGAGTGTATCAAAACCAAATAAGCATTTAGTGATGTATTTCAATTAGAAAATGTTTTGATTTTACGAAGAAGGAATGTACAAGAACATAGTTTTTGAGTCACTACATGTATTCGGTGAGTTCCAAGACGGAGTCATCCAGATACATGCTAGGAAGTTTCACTGATTTGCCTTCAGAGGTTTGTGACTGACTGAAGAATTGATCTCTTGATATTTCTTTCGGTTTAGTTTCATCATATAGGTGCCACTTTCTATTTTATTAACTTTTTTGTTTTAATCAACTATATTTTTATCAGAAGGTTTTTGAAATCATACTCAATACACAATACAATACACAATAATTGTCATTATCTTATCATATTAGTGGAATCAAGCTAAAATCTCCAATGCTTTCCAATTACATATTTAGAATTGGTGAAGGATTATCAGATCACATTGAATGTTCTGTTTTGTTTATTTATCATTCAATTTGGTTAACCTAAGGGCCAAATAAAGAGATCGAAGGTATGATAAAACTGTCTTCATGATAAATTTGCAATTAACAAACTATGGATATAATAGTCCTTTATCAAGAGTTTAAAGATAAGCTAATGAATTGGGTATGAATTGCTTTAAAATTCTTTCATTAAGTATTCAAGGAGGCTATTCAGTTGGATAGCTTATCATTTATTTCTATATGATTTTTAAATAGCAAAGTTGTTAGTAAAATACACAAATAGAAAAAAATTGTAATCAAATAGGAATATATTACTTATACAAATAAATAAAAACAAATCTGATATCACTCACCCATGTCCAAAAGGAGAAATGAAATAAAAGCAGCAATGCACCCTATTATCCATTATATTCTTTCTATTCAAACCAGATTCGTCCTTCAGAAATCTCTCAAACTGCTGATTAATGTAGCCTATGATTTCATCGAAAGAATCCCTGTTATCGATTGCATCACCATAACCAGGAGTATCAACTACAGTTAGTCGAAGTTTCACACCACGTTCTTCTATTTCCACTGTAGACGGTTCAAGTCTCACTGTTTGTCTCAATTTTTCTACAAAAAAAGTTAGTTCATACATTATCACTTCTATTCTTACTTTTCAGAAGTATGACTTAGGAAAAGTATCCGTAAGAGATGTTCTAATTCTACCTATCAAAATGTACAGTAAAATTATGTTCATTTCTGAGATAGGTGATCTATGAAATGAACAGTGTCCATCTATAAATCCAGTTCAACAAAGCAATGTCTTACCAACAGCATCTGGTACAAGTCTTTCGGGATAGAGATCAGTCAAAAATAGAGAAGTGACTAAAGTTGACTTCCCAAGGCCGCTTTCACCCACTACCATGAGGGTGAATTCGAACCCTTTTTTCACAGACTTCCTGTGCACTTGGTTTGGAAGATTCGCAAATCCCACATAGCCGGGTGTTTCCAGACTGGAAAACTGAAATAAGAAATTGGATGACAACTATCGCCATAACCTTACTTTTTTTTGTATATTCAACATTGTCTTCCTGAACTTAAATTAACTATGCTCAATAAAGATTGTATTGTCTGTCGACTATAAATTAATCTAATTATTTAGATAAGATAACAAGTGGTTATTTACATTTTTAACAGATTCACTAGACATTTTTAGTGACTTCTAATTTTTTTGGCACCACACTACTTAAGTACTTGGAAGAATGGGAAATTTTCTGTATCAGTCAGCGTTTTCTAACTATGAATTGACATCTTTACACAGATACTAATGAAAATCAAAACAATAATAAACAACGTTAATCTTGAAAATGTATTAAGACAAATGGGGTGTGGCTACATGAGTCATTGAACCATCCAATTGGTAAAGCGTGAAGAAAGGAAGAGAGAAGTAAGCTTCTCTTTTATGAGCAGTGCTGCCAGATCAAAAATGTTAAAGGCTATAGACGGGTTACTTGTAGATAGAGTGTAGTAGAGATAATTTGGAATTATCCATGTTTTTTCATCCATGCTTTTCAACATGTTGACATCAACGGTGGGATAGAAGAATATCTGTGCAATGTTGCCAAATTTTACAGAATTGTAATTTGTTCCTGAATGCGATATCAGGATCACGTAGTCTAGATAAAATTATTTTTGTAAATGAATTAAAAATACCTCAAATGATAATGACATTGATTTTTATGCAGGAAAATGAATGAAAACTGATAAGTGCATACATAAAATCACCAAAAAGATAGTAGGATAAGTATACATACATATATACACACATTCACCTACGTATATATACCTACACATGCATACACATATAAATGCATACATATATTCAAATTGCAGTACATATTCGATTTGTTTTCCTAATGGATTCAAATACGTTTATTCCTTTCAATTTAACTCAACTAGGTAATTTATCATATTCTACTATTTCTTTGAAAAAAATTGAATTTTGTGAAGATTTCAAGTAATTCAGAACTGAAATTCAATTGTCTTGAACTCTTGTATCATAAGCATGCGTATCAGTGATTTTTTATTTTGAAATATGGTGCCCAAATACATCACTGAATTCTGTGTATGAAAATTTAAGTCTGATGTATCAGAAAATAATTGATATTCACCCAGTTCAATCTGGATATACAAAATGGTACTACAAAAAGTAAAGTGTGGTAAGATGATGGTATTATGTACTAATTTTCTGAAAATCAGAGTGAGATCCTAGCCTAACTCTTCTCAGAACGCCAATTTTACTAATTTTTTCACAAACATAATCTACACGATGACTGAACTTCAAATCTGAATCTATACAGTGACCCCTATATGGGTACCTATTTGAAATTTTCTTTTTTTCTAATTTGGAAGCATAAGTCAGGATTCAGTCAATCATTTCGATTTTTTCCTAATATGTATCGAATACTTCGTTTTACTAATATTCTTTTTCCATTTTATTGTCATTTGTCCATTCCAAAAACTCAGATAACTCACAATTGATTGAATTGGTCACTTTCATATAGTAATCTCCTTCAAAATATCTGCGAAAAAATTATACTCACAGATCTCATAAACAACTGTCAAATCATTTGTGTATAAAACAGAAAGTGGGGGACCTAGAACACTACCTTGTGGAACACCAACATCAATGTCAATTCCTTTGGATATGTAACTGTCACAATCACCTGTTTTCAGTAAGATAGATAACTTTTAAGCATACTATTATTTGAAGCTCCTACTTTATTTTGATAAGAGATATGTTGAAGAATATTATGTATGAACATGTCCGTATAAGATGGTTTGTGTTAAGTTAATTAGACACTTCGGAGTCCGCCCTTGAGGATGACAGGGTTTCATGTAAGTAAAATATCTTATCATAACTCTTCCATTTACTATATTGTGTTTATTCTGATATCAATTCCTTCCTTCCTTTGAAAGTTTTCTATTATCATTTGTAAAAAGATGGAGAAGTGAAAGCCAAAAAGCTCTTTTTCCAAAAGCAGCCTTCATTCTCAAAGTGTGTTCTTTGGTGTGTATTAGACCCGCTAGAGTACTTGCTGCCATTGAATTTCATGTGTCATTGTGACAATTGGGTAAGCGATAGAAACTATGTGCAAAGCGGTAACATGCTTGATGAAAGCTCAAAACAATAGATGATGATTCAAAATAGCAAATCTACCCGGAAAGCGTTACATCTGGCAGCCCTGCAAAAGAGCATTCTGTGGCTTCGTTCTATGGAATATATAATTGAAAGATGAAAAAAGGCACAAACATATTAAATTAAGATGGCACTGATATTGAAAGAGTTGTATGAGACAGTTATATTCAGACAACACCTAGTATAAAAGGCATATTTAATGCCTTTTTGGTGGATACGTTCTCAGTCAAATTTCCATATTAGCTTTCATTCATTACACGTATATTTAAGTCAGTTCTAGAAAACTCATATTGCAAATTCTGACTTGTCATGAAAGTACTCCTATTGAAAACATTCAATGAAAATATTTTTTCACTTTCACGAGTAGAAGGAATAATTGAATTGTCAATTGTCAACAACTCTAACGGATGACATATGTCACAATCACTGAACAGAAAAGCCACGTGATACTTTCATATTGAGGAGTCAAGTTTCTGTGGCCCATTATCTGTGCTAATTGTAATTTTTCGTGGCAAATTCGAATTATTTCAAATTTATCAGATACATAATTTAATTGTCGCTGAGAAATGTTTATGACGTTATTTGTGTAAGTTGTTAAGCCCAAATTTCTAACAAAATAGCCTCATTTTAGCATATTCACTATTAACTCGACGAAATTTTTAGGTTGACAAAATCCCCTCAAGATTTTCAAAATGTTCATGGTTTCTGTTCCGTGCAGTGTCTCTTTCATGAGGGATTTTGTGTTGCAATTGTCAATCGATTTCAGAGCGGACCACAGAATTGAAACCCAGAGATTCAAGTTCTGTCGTACCGCGAGATTTGCGGGTACTGATCCACGAACAATTTGTCATGCGAAATGTGGGAAATTTTGTGTCTGAAGAATTATCATTTCGTGTGTACGTTCAATACAAATATGAGCGCTAGATTAGCTCGCTTCTCTTGGCAAGCGTTCGATAATGCAGATCTGTTGTCCCAGTTACATCTGTGTTCGGTATTTACAAGAGCGAGGAAAAAATGTAATCGGTCAGCTTCAAGATTAACTCCAGGATCAGACAGAGTTTTGAGTTATCATTTGTCATATTCGATAAAATTGAGAGTTTTAGGTATTTTTCGTTAAAATTAACTTTTGGTGAAATTCTTCGCTCTGTTTTAATGTCGACATTAAAGCAGCATCTGATCGGCGAAAGATAAAACGGCCCCACTATCATCAGCAGCAGGGGTCTATCGCATACCGTAGGCGAGCTCAAATTCATCCAGTCGCCAAACGATATCAAAATAACATCGCATGGACTGTCAGTTATATTAATTGAACTGGCCGATACTTGATGAAAATCCATATTAAAACTAATTGATACAGTTTATTGTATGCTTTTCACTATAAAGAATTTTACAAAAATAGCGACACGTGTTTCGCTATACAATAACTTTCTCAAGCGAAACATGTGTCGTGGTTTTTATAAAACCCTTCATAGTGAAAATCATACAATGAATTGTAAACTACTGTTAGTTATGTAGTTCAATTTTCATTCTCTAATCAAGGGGTAGCTCATCATCATATCAATCGGGGGATCCAAATTGATTTTGTTATGAAAATTAGTCTTTAAGATAACAAACAAGGTGAAAATAGTCACCAGGTTGAGACAGAATGGCCATATTCATTTACTATAACTGAAATTCATTACGGAGAGTAATTTGAAGTGTAACGTCATTCGATTTGATCGGATATATGAAATTATTTATGATATGTATTTCCGGTTTCATTTGATGGAAGGCAATAGTGAAATGAAAAACTGAAGCTTCTATTCAATCGATTTATTTCTATACAATACTTCTTAGACATAAACAATAAGTTATCTTTGAATCTTTATACATCATATCTCTATACAAAACTTCATTTTCGAAAAAGTCATGATTGAATAATATACATAGAGCTGAATCCCCGAAACATGTTTGTTCATCTGATTGGTTTTTGGTTCATCATAGTAAAGCTCTGTATTCTCCAATAAATTTTGAGCATTTCAGTTGGTGACACATGATCAAGAGATGAAACTGTTCAATCGATCACTTACCATTGATATTGGAATAATGGCATTGATGATAACTAGTTGTATAATAGTACCTAGTTTTATATTTTTCAGTAGTTGTCAGTAGTTTTTTAAAAATCGGGTAAAAACGATGATCTTGACGTCAACCGCATAGGTGAAAACTATATGTGTAATAGAATCTAGTGTTATATTTTTACTGTTTGTTTGTCAGTACTTTTTTGAAAATCGAGTAAAAATGATGATCGTGATATCACAAACATTTGATATGAACTTGGCAACATCGCATAATTTAATTTTCTTCTGTATTCTTCTGTCCTGTATTCTTGCTGTTCTGAATGTGCATGCGGCATTGCCAATTTGTTTTTGACGTCGATTTGGCAGTTTGTTACGAAACTGAGAAGCATATTTGGAAACAAAGACTTCATATTTGGANCATTGCCAATTTGTTTTTGACATCGATTTGACAGTTTGTTACGAAACTGAGAAGCATATTTGGAAACAAAGACTTTATATTTGGACATTTGTTCGATTTTTTAGTACTGTTATATCATGTATATCGCGGTATATATATTGCGTATGTATATCGCGGTTTGACGGGAGAGGGGTAAGCCTCAATGATAGTCATTTTTGAAACCTTCGTTTTTTTTTCGAAATGAAAAAATTCGGTTATTACTTACTGATGAATGAACCATTTTCTCATAGAACTAACGATTAATTTTGAATTTATCATTTTTTCGAAAATGTAATGGTATATGTGCGCTTGTAAAAAAAATGAAAGAACAACAAATATTTTCAAACTAACTTGTTAAGAGAAATCCCACTCAGATGTTTATATAGTAAAACTAAAAGATGTTTTTTCGTTAGCCAGATTACTCCCATAGAAACTACAACCCTCAGAAGCCAAACTGTGTGAGCTTTCTTTCCTACCCAATGATTATTTTACCTGACCTTATGTAGGAACAATAAGAAATAAATTTTACAAACTCATTTAAATGTTTTTTTCAAAAAGTACACCTCACGATTTGATCTCCACAAATTTTATTTGAAAAATATATCACAACATGTTTCGACTCACTTGATAAAGCTACTGTGCTAGCGAAACATGTGATTATATATTTTTTCAAATAAAGTTTGTGAAGATCAAATCGTAAGGTGTAGTTTTTGAAATTACTATAGATATTCATCAAGTAACAGCT